GCCCAATCTCACTCGAACACTTCCGGGTTCTGTGGTCAATTCAGAGAGCAAGTACAAAACATCGTAAATTTACCATCTTTCGATGTGGGTTTCATCATGATCCTTACAGTAATTTGTAGCCTTGTTTTTGCTTCCCTGATAGTCGCCTTTGTATTCAGGTAAGAATTTCTTTTGTACCACTTGACGGGATCTCTGGGTTTCTACTGTTCACAGCCCAAGTGTTTCACGTGATCTTCGATACTTGGAAATGTTTTCATAAGATAAAATCGACATTTAAATAATCTAAAATAAAAAAGTTTATTTCTGTTATGACCTTATTAGTATCTTCCCTCCGCGATCTGTGTAAAACAAAATCGAAATTGAACAATTATAAATGTAGCTTGATATGTCGTGTACATCTTCAGGTTTACACAGAATGGAAAGCCTTGGGAAATACTCAGTTTCTTTCAGATTTCTAACACTCTACATCTTGAAGCAGCAGTAAGACAGTATGACGACTTCTTTCTCCTTGTTCCTCTGCAACATCGAACTATTCTGAGGGCTGTTAAATCGTTTGGCAAGGAAACAGACAACTGTGTGTTGATTGGAAGTGCATTTGAGGGATGTTTCCTTCCAAAGAAGATAAACGGTAGATTGGAAATTGCAGTTGAATGTGATTTTTTCGTTCAGCTTGCAACGCCCAAAGCTAAAGAATCAACAGGAACTTTTCAGTATACCCAGGTTGATGGGAAAACCCACCAAGTGCTCGTTAAGATGTCAGACCCATCAGTTATTGAGTGGGAACATATGGGCATCGATCAAACAGCTAGTTATCTGAGACATTGCAGTGATGGTTTTTATATCAAAAGAAATTTTATGCAAGCAATGGAAGGTAAAATTTGGAATTCACTTAGTAAGGTTTATGCAAAAAAGCCTGGTGGCATGGAAATTGTTCACAGGTCTGAAACAAGGCAAGATGTGGAACTTTCTGCATCACTTGATGTGACATTTTTCAAGAAAATTTGTGATCATCTGGATATGTTGCCATTAGATCCAAATACCTGGTCAGGAAATGCAATGACAACTGCACAAATGTTGTGGGTGAATCTCATCAACTGGAGTTCATCCTTCTGGCCAGCTCGCATTTTTAAAGTTCATGTGGTGTTGGAATGTAGCTGGCCTGCTGTTGCAATGGAGAACTGGCTTCAAAGGAAGAGACAATGGCCCACTATGAAATCTGTACAAGAGATTGCATTGACTCCTTGTTACCTACACCCCTTGTGGGATGAAACAGGACCTGCAATAGACGAAGAGGTGATGGCATTTCAGATAACTTTTGGTAGAGCAGAATTTTTGTTATTCTCTGAAACTGGGCCTAAAGAAAGACAATGTATTGTCATTCTAAAAGCTCTAAAGGAAAAATACTTTCATGACTCAAAAGTCTTCACATCTCATTCTATCAAAATGGTGTTTTTCTGGCATTTAGAATCAACACCTCTGGCAGAAAGACAGGAAATGGGAAGAGGTGAATTACTCATGCACCTTCTGGACAAATTAACTGCATTCCTGGAGAGCAATAATTTGCCTCACTTTTTTAATCCACATGCTAATCTGTTGGAAGGTTTGAATGCATGTGACATAAGTTCTACACTTAAGGAATTGAAAAGGGTTCAAAGAAACCTTTTAGATTATTTGACCTCTGAACTCTTTCAAGAGGAGTGGTTGAGAGCTAATGGTGATGATTTAGTTAAAAAAGTCTTGCAGTTTGTTTAACTATTTTATTCCCAAAAGTGAATTTCTCCTTATAACATTGACATATTTTTAAGCAAAAATGATGATGAAAAGTGAAAAAATTATTAAAAAAGAAGACATTGTTTGATTTATACCAAATTCTCAGGTCCAAAATTGTAAGAAAACTGAGGCCAAGAGTATGGAGAATTTATTCTTTGACCTTGGAAGTGAAGAGGTTGAGAGAAAAGGATGTTTCATGTACATGAAATGTATTTTCCTGAAGACTACTGTAGAAATCTCTCAGCCATGTTCTCAATGACTATTTTTACACAATTTAGTCAACTTGAGGGTGTAATTGAATGGTTCCATAGTAAATAGTGTTAAAGCAAGTATTAATTTGTTAAGTTTACAAGTGTGAAAATAAAATATTTGGTTAAATTTAGCCTTCACATTGAAGTCTCACCAACCCAAAGATTTTCAATAATGCACTAGTGTAAGTCTGTTCAGGTGTTCAAAACATTAGTTACTGTCAACCAGTCCTGTCTTGATCTCATTAAACAGTTGACTGTGGCTGACACTCGTGTTCTTGGACAAGACTTTTTACTCTCTCCACTTGAAGTGTAGACTGGCTTTAGAGAGCTATCAAGGAAATCCTCAAATAAGGCCTGGAGGTTATATGTGATGGATCAGCTTCCCATCCACGCAAAGCTTGTTCCAAGTGTTTGGTTAGTGAAACAGAGGGCCCTGCTAATTAGTGCAATAATATCACCAGCAAGCAGAAAGGATTTGGGATGGGTCAGGATGCAACCCAACTTCCATTTTTTCTTTAATCTGACCCAGGCCTCCCTCACATTTTGCCACATGATCACCATCTAGCCATTTACTGGTGCACCCCATTTCCAAACCAAACACCTACTTTGAGCATGTCCAGCAATAGCTGGCTTTTAAAGGCTACTTGGCTGAAAGATTTTACCAAGGGACAGGTATTCATTTGGGGCTAGGAAGAAAGGGTAATGCATGGGCCAATGGCCAGCAAGATCTTCTACAATAGAACCCTGCCAAATCAACTCAGTCAATTCGAATTCCCAGGGAATTCAGATAAGACCCCATTTCCTTTGACAAATTTTCTCTGGCATTTACTATCAGCTAACTCAAATCTCTGCTTATTCAAAGGATTTTAGTTTCCTTTGGCAGTTCGAGTTAGTGAGCTTCTTCTGTATTAACTTCATCATTCATTTCTGTGTTAATTTGCATGGGAGGAGCCTTCTCATTGGCTAATGTTATGTGAAGAAAAGCTAATATTCTTCTTACTTTTCAGGTTTCTTACAAAGGCTAAGACACTTCAACTTCAACAGCTAGAGATTGAAAGAGCCCTTTTCAAGTATGAGAATTTCCTATTTCTCAATATGGCTCAGCACAAAGTAATTTTTGAAGCAATAATGGAACGGATATCAAGCCAACTACACAAAACTGTTTTGCCTGTGGGAAGCATGTTTGAGGGCTGTCATATTGCCAAGTGTACAGATGATGGAAGAATTATACAGGAGATGGATTTCATGCTTATCTTGCCAGATGTCATTGCCACTGAAGGGGACAGTGAACCACTGAAATGTGTTTCAGTGGAAGGACCTAATCCAGGTTATGTCAATTTGAAAGTGTTAGATGCTACTCGCATCTCAATACAAGATACACCAGCACTAAAAGATCTGGTGGATCCATTCACAATGCTTTATGAAATACATAATGAAGAACTGTTCCTTTCCCACAAATTTGTCAAGATGTTTGAGCGACGAGTGGAGTATGCAGTGATGCATGTGATGGGAACAAAATTCAACCCCTCCCTAGGCCTTGAGCTTGGAATGAAACGTAAAAATGTGGAGGATTTTTATCCAGTTATGACCATTTTCCTTAAAGAGCCCATCAACATGTTGATTTGGCCTGACTCTGATGCTTGGCCAGACACAGCAGTAGGAGCACTTTTTGACACACTGTCAGCCATCCAAGGATCGCAGAATGGCAGCTCTTGGGAAAATCAGATTATTGACATAGCTCCTGCTATACTCTGTCAAGTTCCTGCAGATATCAAAGATGCATGGCTGAGAAGAAGAAGATGCTGGCCTGATCAAAGACTAGTGGAGACAGTCTCCAGTCTTCAGAGTTACTTGCTTGCAAAGCCTCATCCTCATACCACAAATAAGCTGTTGGAGTGGCGATTCAGCTTCAGCTCAGCTGAGCTGCTTCTCAGTTCTGCTATGGTGCCATGGCAGAAGCAAGTGCTCATGGTAGTTAAGGCTTTACGAAGGAAATACTTGCAAGAACCAAAGCTTGTTGCTTCCTATCACTTGAAAACTGTTATGTTTTGGGTTCTGGAGTCGATGCCCAAGCAAACAAGAGAATCTTGTGGTCGAGGTGCTTTGTTGCTAAGCCTTATCGATAAACTTTTGTCGTGTCTGAAAGCCAAAAATTTACCTCATTTTTTCATTCCAGAAAATAATATGTTTAGTCACTATGAAGATGTAGACATCCTCACAGTTCTTTCCAAAGTTCAAAGCATGAGAGAAAATTTGCCAATATATCTGACAGAAGACTTATTCACAGCTGCTGTTACTGAGGAAAGAGAAGAGAAGGAATTTGAAGACACTTACTGGGGAACTATTTAGCAATTTAACCCCTAAGAGTGAGTGGCTTCTAATTTCTCTTTAAAGTATCACCCTAAATCTACAAACTTGCTTCAGAAGTTAGACATAAACTTGCCTGTTTGCTTGTATGCAAGTCAAATGTGCCCAGATACCTACATGATGATATACTAAGATAATTTTGCGATTCAAAAATGCAGTGCAGTGGTTAATAACCATTGGTTCTATTCAAGTCTTATGACTTACATGCTGAACAAATTTCTCAGTCTAGGAGACACTAATATGTAACCTGCCTGTATCCCATCAGGACCTCTCCATTATCCATGTCTAGATTCATTTAAATAAGATAAACATTTATGTTAAATAGTTCAGTTATGTCCAAAAATGAGGCAGTAATGAAAATGGAATATTTGACAAAAATTTTGTTAAACTGAGTGACTGTTCAAGGATTTTATGATTTTGGCAAATTTTAGTCAAATTCATCAAGCGAAATTATATCTTCCATAAGCAAATTCAGATCTGTTTTCTAGCGGTTACTTTTTGTTTCATGTAAGGGAAACGGAATGTCCTAGACTTGACAAGAAATCCTTTAGTTGAGGAGTTGCACCAGTGGCTGATTTTTTTCGATCATCTGCTCGTAGAAGATCTTTTAGCGTAGAATTGTGACTTCTTCTCCGGGAACTCGCTGATTTTGATGAAACAGGAGTGTTCTGTTCATTTGTGCTATTGTTGTGCAAATTCTGCGGCGCAGAGAACGAAATTTTCTTTTCAAGTGTGGATTTTTTGTCGTCTCCTGCGCGTCCAGGATAAAATGAATGCTTTCCACACGTCTTGCAAAATACCCCGACATGGTTTAGTCTTCGGTGAAGTTTAAGTATTTCCTTATTAGAGCGACATTTTTTGTCGTCAAGTCTCTTTTTCTTTCCACGCTTAGGGTGCAATCTCACGCGACAATTATCAGCGCTAAATACCATGTGGCAATGCTTACAATACTTCAACTTGAAATTATCCAGTGAAGCGTCACCATTTTCTTCAGTAGAGCGAATCTCGTTCACGTAGAATTGAGACAACTGTGGGTTTTCCTTTGCGCAATTCACGGCCAGATTCCACAAATGGTTCAGACGCGCTTTATCCGCCATCGTGCCTTTCTCTCTCTAGAGGCATGAATATTTCCGCATATAGACGAAGGGTTACTCGGAGTAGGTTCGGACTACGGATAATGGTTCGGACACTGCTCGGAGAAAGCTGCGGCAATGCGCCGCTGACTAAGAAGCATGCGCTAATTTGCGCAAACCGCGGGAATCGAAGTGGAAAATGGCGTCGAACCTCAGCAAAGTTGCTGGAATGGGTTCGTGTATTAACGGTCACGTTGTTCAAAACGATAGCGCGATGTCGGAAGCACAAATGGGACAAGAGAGAGTAGCCATTCTAGATGCTGGGGCGCAATATGGAAAGGTGAAATTACCCTTTCACTTTGTTTAAAACGTAATGAAAAATATACAAGTAAGCCAAAAGTAATCGTAATGTTTTTTTTTTTCATGTAGATTTCATAAACAATTTAAATGTAAGTTGCATCGCAAGAAATGGGTCGGTGCTTACGATAATTTTATCTGGTTTTCGTAGAAGCACGATAATGAAAGAGAAATAAATGTGCAGTAGACAAGACTTTGAAATCTGATATGTTAAACCAAAGCATTTTTTTTTCTTTTAAAAGAGGATGCAGTTAGATCTAAGTGACCTTCTCGTGCTATCGGTCTTATATCTCCTCCAGATGTAATAATGGTTTTTCGACTAAAAACGATCCTAAATTTGAGGTCTCGAGAAAATTGGTCCCACGAGGGTGAAATTTTGTAAAAACGTGATAAAAAAACAGGCTGCTTTCGGTCAGTCGTGATAATTGATTTTCTGTTTCGAAATGTACAGTGCAGATTAGCAAGGTCGGATTGGTTATTGGGTCTTAATAATTGTCTGCTGGTTACTCAACTTCCAGTACAAGTTCTGTGCCTCAAAAATATTGGAAATAACTCCAACATCAGAAGTTGATGTTTGATTTGCATGTTACAATGGGCATGTAAAGTACTGCTTAGATGTACGTTAACCATAAAACTCACGCAAAACATGCATAAATTTGCATGTAGGTATGCACAAATAAAAACGTGCCCTTCTAAATTTCGCATATATGCATGTAAGCTTGACACATTTGTCTCATTGGTATGTGTAAGCTAGCTTTGTGTTTTTCCATTGTTGAAAGTAAATTGTTCTAAAGGATAGGCTAATAGCATGAAAACACTACATGACTACGAGCTACAAGTAGACTTGTTCATTTCAATCACTGCTCGAAACAACCTTCCAGATAGGGTCTTACTAAACCAAGGATCAGCAGACTGCAGAACCTCTGGAGCTGGCAGAACCTGCGGAACCATTAATTTTTTGTAAGAAAAAAATGATGAAATAAAATAAAAACTAAAAGTACCGTAACTGGTTAAAATTTGTTTTTCGGGTATAAAGGAGATCACTGATGTATACAGTGCCCTACTAGGGCTCAAATCAGTTGGTGATAGCCAATCACATTTAAAAATTTTGTTATAGCTGATTATGATGATGATAATATTTCAATGATGATGATGATGATATAGCAGTTTTTAGTTGTCAAAAGTTATCTAGGCTAGATTTTCCCCTCTTTATCTGAATATTTCCATGCTCACCATCAAGGGTTCTATGTACTGATCATTTTTAATTGTGCTGAAATATTTTCTTCAATAGATCATAGATCGCAGGGTCCGTGAACTATGCGTGGAGTCAGAGATGCTCCCCTTGGACACATCTATATACACTATAAGAGAAAAAGGTTTTAGGTAAGAGAATAATGTAAACTTCAGTTATGATAAAAGCTCTACTATAGACACAGACATTTTCAAAATAATTCAGTTTCCTGGCTGTGCATGCATATCATTGATGTTGAAAGTGGTTGGTATTTGCCTCCACTTTGGTGAATGATCATTTGAGGGGCCTTTTTTACAGTGGAGTTATGTGATTTCTGTAGCATACCTTTTCCTCTTAACTCATCAATTTAATTTTTTGGTATCTCAGGGCTATTATCATCTCTGGAGGTCCAAATAGTGTTTATGCTGAGGATGCTCCTAAATACGATCCAGCTATATTTACCATTGGAATTCCTGTCTTAGGGATTTGTTACGGAATGCAGGTAAAGCAGTGATGTCAAAAAGGTTCTGTAGGCATTATCAACCAAGCATTTCTTCAGATGTACGCTAAGCTCTGTAGGAATCCATTAATCCTTCTCACCTGAAAATCAGTATGCATATTCTGGATAATGTTCTCTATACATTTCCTAAGGTGTTGACAAAGAGAATTTGTTGAAAAACCAAGATCTTCTGTAACTGGTGATCCTTTCCTTTATTCTCATGACCTTAATGGTTGATTCAGGGTTGATACTGTTAGGAGAAATTAGAAGACAATCACTCTTAAGGGTTGAAACACAAGAAAGAACAAGACTTATAGTTGGGAACTACCTTGACCAAGTAAGCTTGGTCAATAACGGCTTCATGACATCAGTAAAAATACCAATAAACCTTTTTTTCTTTTGTCTGGTAACAAAGATGTTGAACAAAGAGTTTGGTGGGACTGTGATGAAGAAAGATATCAGGGAAGACGGACAATTTAACATCAATGTAGAAACATCCTCAGCACTTTTCAGGTTGGTAAAGGTTTATGTTTATTAAAAGAAGCATGTGCTGGACCAAGTCCATGGATAAAGTGCCTTTTAGAAGTTTATGTGTATTCCGAAGGAAGCAACACTTACTCTGACTAGGCAATCCAATGTTAGATTAGCAGACTCAACCCCAGTTCTTTTTGTTTTGGTCTAAAAAGTCTGATTTGTTGTTTTTTTCTTTGTATAGCTGCAAAAAAGTTGTTGCTAGAGACCAATTTATGATTTTGGGCACCAGACTGCAACTTTTAAAATTGCTGAGTTTTTAGCACTGATGAACTTTTTTTCCTTTCTCAGTTGTGGCCAGGGTCCTGTGCTATTTCCCATTTAAAAATGCCTTGTCCCCTCTACTCGCTTAGTCGCTCTGTCACCATTCACTTGCCTCTCATCTCACTGCTTCTCTGCAGCAGATTTTTTATCCCTCATGCACATACCCACACAGGGAAGTTTCACTCTCCTAATGGGTCACTCGAGCCAGCAACACACTTGATGATTTTTATACATCAATTGTGGTGAACATAAAAATTGCAAGGTGTGCCCAGTGCAGAGGTGGTGATTCTCATCAATCAGCATAACCTGCATTTAAAATCCCTGATATCTGGCATGTCAGATACTGGAGATTTCAGCTAGCTATTAAATTTGCCTTGATTGCAGAATAAAAATCATCAAGTGTGATGCTAGCCCAAGGATATGATATCAACAAAATTTTTTATTCATGAATGCACTCTTTGCATGGAGAGTACTTTCCAGTGTTAATATTCATCTCTTTTGATTCATCTAGAGGACTACAGTCAGAGCAAGAAGTTCTGTTGACGCATGGAGATTCAATCGACCGTGTTGCAAGTAGCTTGAAAGTAATTGCTAAGTCTGGTGACATTGTTGCAGGTAATGTTAAAGGACGCATTTTGCTTCTTTTACTCTTTACACCCTAACATCAGTATGCATATTCTCCACACTGTTCTCTATACATTTCCTAAGGTGCCGACAAGGAGAATTTGTTTAACAATCAAGAGCTTTTTTTGCAGGTGATCCATTCCTTTCTTCTCCTGACCTTAGTGTTTGATTCAGGGGTGATATGGTAAAGAGAAATTAGATACTAGTCACTCTTATGGGTTAAAGGGTTAAAAATCTCATTGTGGTGACTCAGTATATCCTTATAAGTGGTCATCCCCTCTCAACACAGTGTTTATGTTCTAGAACAAAGGATCACTTGATGAGAAGAGCAAATTTTCTCCTAATAGTTCTTTTGTTATTATTATCTTCTGTAATTTCCAGAGTGAACTTTTTAATAAGCATCTTTCTCCTTTGATAAGGTGTCGAGGATGAGTCACGAAAGTTGTATGGGGTCCAGTTTCATCCAGAAGTTGATCTCACAGAAAATGGTGTTGTCATGTTAAGAAATTTCCTTTACGGGGTAAATATTCAATGTCTAAATTTGTATTTTTTTTATCTAGGTCTAGCTAGTTATAAGGCTGTTTGGTCGCATTTCCTTTGATGAGATGATAGTGTAAAAGAAAACCTTTCCATGGTCACTTTTTTGTTGGAAAATGATCTAATATTAACCTATTAACTCCCAGAAGTGATTAACATGTGACATCTCCCTATAATATCCATACATTATCCACAAAATAGGTATTGAGAATATTCAAACTTATCAGTTAGAGGTTGTTTTCTGGATCTAACAGCAAATTCTTACTACTAATTCAAAAGGAAATGTACAGCAGCTTGAGGAGAAAATTAACAATCAGACTTTGGGATTAAAAGAGTTTAATTGCAATTTTTTCATTTTCCTCAACTGTTACTAGGTTGCGGGATGTTGTGGAACATACACTGTGATAAGTCGAGTAGACACCTGTATTCAGCAAATCAAGAAGAGTGTTGGTAACATGAATGTTTTGGTAAGTAGGCATGAGTACTTAACCTTTGTCTTACTTGTATGCAAATCAGAATTAGGCATTTGAACCAGAGAATTGATTGCCAGTAGAACTAGTCCAATTTAAGACTGTAATCTTTGGCTTCTTATTGATTTCTCCTTGGAGTGTTCATGTTACATTCTCAACCAATTAATTAATTTTTTAAATTTAGATTGATTGATTTTATTTGAATGTTTGTTTGTTTTTTTCAGGCATTGGTGAGTGGAGGGGTAGATTCAACAGTCTGTGCAGCTCTGCTTCACAAGGTAATTTTGCTTTTTGCTTATTTATTATATAAAACAAGATGATTCTATATTTGCAGTGGGTCTGAAAAGTAATAGAACACCAGGATGTCAAAAATGCGGTGAAAACATCAGTGACGCACTCAGCTGTGCCTTGTGTGCTGCTTCTTAATTCTTACCACATTTTATAGTCATTTTTAACCTGTCACTTAACAGGCCCATGCAACATAGAATCTTTTTTTTTTTTAATCCTTAAAATCCCAAAATCTGGGCCCAGTTGTTCAAAGGTGGATTAGCACTAACCCAAGGTTGAACTGTGATCCAGCTGTTTTTTTTTTTTTTTTGTTATTGAGTTTTGTTTCCGTTTTTGCGATTATTCGTTCTATTCTTTTAAGAACAACCAATCATCAAATTGTCGACAAAAAGAATCATACTAAATTTTCCTTGAAAGCCTTCAAATATGAAATCAGATTTCAATGTCATCTTAACCCAACTTTGAGCAACCTAGCCCTGTTTGTTAATTATCCCCTGTAACTGCTACAGACTTTAAGATCATAACTTCTAGCCAATAAGTTTGAGCATTCTCATTACCTGTTTGCTGGATAATGTGTGGATATTTCAGGAAGAAGTTAGAGGTTGACATTTCTGAGAGTTAAAGGGTTAATCAAATGTAGAGAGCATCCTCCTGTTACTCTACACTTTCTAACTGGTGCTACACTTTTTAGTGAAAACCCTAGTAAATTACAGTGTATTGCAGGCCCTTCGCCCTGAGCAAGTTGTGGCAGTACATATTGACAATGGATTTATGAGGAAGAATGAGAGTCAGGAAGTAGAGGAATCTCTTAAACGATTAGGGCTTAGATTGAAAGGTAACTTTGGTTTATATTGCTGGCAGATGCCATGATCAGTGCGCAGGACCCCAGGTTGAGAGGTCTGGGTTTAAGACCTGTCCAGGTCATTGCATTGTGTTCTTAGGCACCCAGGAGTAAAAATGGGTACAGCGAATAGTCAGGGAAGCCTGATGAAATGCAGGGGGGTAACCTTGCATAGGACTGGCATCCCATTCAGGGAGGAGTGGTAATACTCCTATTCACTTCATGCTAAGGAAACTGTGCTTGGGAGGGCCACTTGGCTCAAGAGCAAACTTAACCTTACCTTTTAGTTGCTATTGAGTGAAACTGCAACAGTATAATAATTATAAATTTGATTCAGTATTACCTCCATGGCACAAGTCTCTTCCACTTGTGGGGTTGGTTTTTGAGGTGCTGTCTTTTGTTGCACAACATAAAAACTGGAGAACTTAGCTGAAACTTCTAGAGCAAAGTCAAGAGCCACTCTCAGGGCCAACCCACATTTAATGTAAATTTTAGGAAATGAATATTTGTGGCAATACACTGTGTAGCATGACAAAAGCCTCACCATTTTGCTATCCAAGCTCACTCAATTCTGTCTGTTGTTCCAGTTTTGAGCAAACTAAGGAATTCTAGGTATTCTCATCAAGACACAACAAACTTGTTTGTGCATTTTAGATAATTCCTACACCTGCAGCTTTTGCTTAGATGGGCAGGCAATGATGGAAAATGCCTCAGATCACTTAGTCTCTTGTTTTGTTTGATCCTTAGTTGTAAATGCTGCATTACGGTTTTATAACAGCACAACTGTAATATCTGGTAAAAAAGACCAATCGCCTGTTAAAAAACAGGTAACAAAAACCTTGAATGTGACAACTGACCCCGAGGAAAAGAGGAGAATCATAGGAGACACATTCATCAAGGTCAGTCTCTTTCGACATGTCTTAATTTGTTGTGATGCGCAGCTTATTTGGGAGTGGGGTTTATTGGATGGCGGGGGGGGATGTTTCAAAAGAGGTTGGGGTTTAAAAAAATCATTGAGATCCGCAATATTTACAAACTATCATGAACCCTTTTGCAGTATACAGAATTTCTTGCTAGGAAAACCCAAACTATCCAAATTACAGGCTTCCAATAATTCCTCTTTAGGGAAAATATCAGTTTATGGAGCATTTCATTTGACATGTGCTATGGCTTGTTCCTCTGTGTTATGTTTGTGTTATCAACATACTCAGCAGTCAGTGCACTTCACTTTTCGACATTGAAAAAGAGCATACTTTTATTTAAGTTTCAGAACGCAACTGAATAGTCATGAATCTTAATAATGATGCATTTGATTTCAGGTTGCCAATGAAGTATGCAAGGAGTTAAACCTTGATGAGACCAATACGTACTTAGCACAAGGTTAGCAGTACAATGTACTTGTTAACCCTTTGGTTGCAAAGTTTGAAATTGTTTTATTGATATACGTTTTGTTCAGCGTTGTTCTTTCGTCTACTGCCGTGAAGTCACGACCGAATAATTTAAACATATTTTGACAGCTATGGAGCTCCGCTGTTGAGTGAACGCTTTCAACCGTAGTAATGCAGACAGCTCTTTACATTAGACACTGGCGGCAATTCCACAGAATTTGCCATGGTTTTTAAATGGTTTCATCTTTTTGTTTGTTTGTGTTTTCAATAATAATGATCTACAGGTACTCTTCGACCTGACCTTATTGAAAGTGCTTCATCACTGGCCAGTAACAAGGCAGATGCCATCAAAACTCACCATAATGATACAGACTTTGTTAGAAGTTTGCGCGCACAGGTGAGGTGGAGCCCACATAGCTTTCTTACGTGATGATCAGTTGAGTAGAAAGTTCTTACGTTGACCGTTGTGCTCAGTTGTCGGTGAAGTCAGGACTGTTACCTTTGCCTCTCTCCCAAAATCTGGTGTTGAAGTGTGGGGTTTCAGGGGGTGCTGGTGCCCATTCCACCGTCCAAAACCGCCAGAGAAAGAACCGGAAGTGGCCGCGACAGCCTGGCCAGACGCCCTTTGGGCTTTAGCTCTAATTGTACGGGTTCGAACCCCGTTGGAGTCTATGTTTTTTGGAGGCTTCTTTTTCTAAAGTTTTCGTTCACATGTTAGTTGCAGTTGGTTACTTGCCAATATACATGCAGGACATGTATTTCAAAGTTAATTCCTCCTGTGCATAGGTTCGTAATTGATAGGGCGCGCTGCGAGAGTCTGAATCATTCACAATTACTTTTTTAGGGAAGAGTCATTGAGCCCCTGGTAGATTTTCACAAAGATGAAGTCAGAGCACTTGGAAGGGAGTTGGGTTTACCAGCAGACATTGTTCAAAGACATCCTTTCCCTGGCCCTGGTCTGGCTATTCGTATCATATGCGGTGATGAACCTTATCAGGGGAGCGACTTTGCGGAAACAAATATCATCCTGGGACAGATTGTAGACTTTGTTACTGCTATTAAGAAGGTGAGCCGTTTACGTTTAAGAATCGTTTGTATCAACCTCGAAGGTTTTAGTACCTGGAGCTCGTATGGCAGGCCTAAAGTCTGTTCTCGAGAAAAGCACTCAGTATGCATAATCTCCATTCATATTCTCTAAGGCGCTGACGAGGTGGATTTGTGTAACAATTAAGAACTTCTTCAGCTGGCGATCATTTACTTTATTCTCGTGACCTTTATGTGTGATTCAGGGGTGATATTGTGAGTTGAAATGAGTACAGTTCAAATGAGTTGACTGTTCATTCTTGATGTATTTTTTAGCCCCATTCGCTCTTCAGTCGGGTGAAACTGAGTACATCAGAAGACGACAGAGAGACCCTTTTGCAGATAACATCAAAATACAAAATTGGTGCCACCCTGCTGCCAATAAAATCGGTTGGTGTCCAGGGAGACGGGCGGACCTACAGCTATGTGGTGGCGTTATCGAGCAACGACTCACCCGACTGGAAATCACTGATGTTCCTCGCTAAACTAATCCCCAAAGTTTGTCATAATATCAACAGGTGATTTTCTTTTACTGTAGTGGCCTTATACCAGGCTCCCCGGCCGGCAGAGGATGGAGCTAATGACTGGAGAACTGAGCCACAAGAAGTGTCGAAGAATCGAGGAACTGGGAAGGAGTAATTGCAGTACCGTGATGCTGTGACGTGATTGGACCTCCCCAGTTTCCCTCTTTTTGTCGCTTTTTTTTCGTCTCGTTCCCTAGTTATTAGCCTTTCCCCACTCTTGGGGTGGAGTTTCTACTAGCCCCATTATAGCCTATGTTCTACCTTACGAAAGTTCATTTAGGTGATTGTTATTCCAGACATTCGTTTGTGCAGCTGGAAGTATATATAATTTACTCCATTAACTCTCTATCATATGGCTTGCAATGACTTCAAAGTTGCAATATTTACTTTTTCTATCGTCTAATTTCTTGCTACGAGGATAATTGTACCTTTTAATACAATTTTTAAGTCGGTATTTTTGTAAACGGATTGATTCATTGAAGGCCTCATCTGATGTAGTTGCACATGTAGGTATTCGAGACAAAGAGATTATCTACCCCCTTCCCCCACTCCTCCTCCCTCAAGTCATAGAGATTATTCAATGGAATATGCGCTTGTACGGTTTTTATTCGCGAGTTGCGGTGCATAATGAAAACGAACGAGTTTGCGCAGCGAACGAGTGAGGGATGCATTACAACTAGTGAAGAAAAAATCGTTCAAGCAATTTTCGTGGTATGATGTTTTTATTTCATACACAGTTATATTTTTCCTCGCTGACCGGCACATTTCAAAGATTGGAAGCCATTTGTTTCCCTCCTGTGAAGGCGTGACAACAGTTTTGGCAGATTGGGTAACTCTGACATTCAGATAAGGGGTTTTCTCACGTGAACACTTTTATTCCAACGTTGAGGCTTACAATCTTTTTTTTCTTCATATTTTATTCAGAGTTTGTTACACGTTCGGCAAGAGAATCAAGTTCCAGATTCAAGACATCACCCCCACATTCTTGTCACCAGGTGTAATAAGCACTTTAAAACAAGCAGACCACGTGGCATATTCTGTCATTCAAAAACATGGTAAGGAACTGCTGTTGTCCAGTTTGATGTGAAGAGGGGAAAGGCTTTAATAATGGTGTGAACACAGGGGTGGAACGTTTGCGTTTGTGCGAACGTTGTAATGATTTGTTGTTAGGACCAAAATGTCTCACACAAGTAACAAACAAACGCACGCCAGCGAGACACTGTGTCTTAGAAGTGTGTAGCTTCTTTGGTAAAGCTTAAAACAAAATAGTAAATATTTGGGAGGGGAGGGTGGGAAGGGACGTCACATAGTCCTCTCCCAAGTACTCAGAGTAGATTTCTTAAGGTGTTTTTCCAAAGAGATCGCCCCACAAATGAATGGGACAGTTGGAAAATTAAACAAGAATGTTTATTTTATCGTGTATCCATTTTGTTATTTGAATTTTTTCTCCAGGTATTGCAGACAAAATAAGCCAAATGCCGATTGTTTTGATACCAGTCCACTTCGACCGCGATCCTATCGACCACATTCCATCTTGTCAGCGGTCTGTTGTGATCAGAACGTTTATCACAAGTGACTTTATGACAGGAGTGCCCGCTACACCTGGGAAGCAAATTCCTATCGAGGTAAGAATCTCACTTTATAGAGAGCCTCCAAAACAGGCTTAAATTCTTAGCTATTAAGGCAAGCAGAAGCAGACGCGAGGAGAGCGCGAGTTTAGCGCGTGGAGAATTTTTTTCGCGTCCCTCCTGTCGCGTGTGACTAGCCTCTTGCATTCGCCTCTCGCTTGTCTGCGCACGCCTGTGGAACGCATGGTTTTTTGGCTATTTTAGAGAGCGCCTGGTTATATTGAGTGTTGTAAAACTAGACCAAGATAATAATCACAGCCAACCAGTGCGAAGGTGAATATCACGAGAAGCCAGTGAAAACTCTAGGTGAAAGCAACCGAACTTCCCTATGCGCGAGACGATGCGGGTCGAATGGATTTTTCGACAATGTTCACTGAGCCTGAGGCGACTAATTTTTTTAGTATAATTGCTCAGGTGCCTTCAAATTCGTTGTAAAGTCTATAAACAAAGAAAGCATTGGGCATATTACGTTACAATTGTGTTTTAACAGGTTTGTCTTATTTAATCAGCAGAAACATCACATCTTACTTTTGAAAAGTGTTCCGTCGAACTCGGTAGCATGTTTTGTGCTCTTCGCAATTTAATTAATTTAATGCCGGGCAGCCAATGTGAAATTCAGCACCCCTGCTATAATCACCTCGCGCGAGTTGATTGTAGCGAGATATGGTGCAATCCTCGACCAATCAGAGCGCGCGCATCTCAATCACCAAGCAATTAATACATTTTATTTCTTTTTCTCAGGTTTTGAATGAAATGGTGGCATCTTTGAAAGAAGTACAAGGAATTTCACGAGTTCTCTATGATTTGACTTCCAAGCCTCCAGGAACGACAGAGTGGGAATAGAATAGAGGTTTATTCTTTGCTCAGGATAGTGAGATTTTAATTCTCTTTATTTAATATCGAGATTAAAACCCTTAACATTCAAAGAAGTGTCGCTAGAGTGTAATTGGCCAGACGACAGGTACAGTCAAAATTGTTCTTTTTTCTTAAAAAAATGATTTCGAATTGTTAAATGTTAACTTATTTCCAAAATTTTCTTTCATTCATTTATTTCTAAAAATGGAAAATTCTATTATTTTCAATAACTCTTTTTTCTTTTTTACAAATCTAAAACGATTGTCGTAGGTATCAAAATTGACTTCAGAAGGTAACTTCCGCCTAATATATATGAGGGACCTTAAGCAGTCAGGACGGCAACGCCAAGGAAGATTTCGATTAAAAAATGGATTTCTGCCTTTAATTAGAATTTCAAAAACAGCTGCATGTGTTTACCGTCTCCTACAGCGCCACACCTCAATTTCAGCACAACGTATAAAAGAAGCGTTGAGTTCCGAATGGAAATTAAAATAATTTGCCGTCGCGGTTTCGGTTCGCAGACGAGCAGATTGTGGTGATTTCATGTTATTGTTTTGCATGAGACGGCTAGGAAATGTACAAAGTTTTAAAACGCACGTGCTAAGCTATTGTTCTCCCAATTAGATCTTTTGTTTTTCCATGCCCTCGTTGCCGTCGCGGGTTGCTTAACGTCCCCATTTTAACTTCCGTAAACGTTTGTAAAAGTTGGCCACAGCAATTTGTGGTTAATCTATGTAGGCCACAATGTATTTTCTCGCGTTCAGCGTGAAGTACAATTTGTTCTGTCATGCCTCTCTACGTTTTACCGATTGGACCAAAATGTGTCACGTTACATGGGTCAAAACTCACCAACTTCCCAGAGAAGCAACGCACGTGATCAAGTCGGGCATCTTGAAACCTACAAACTTTTTCATTTGCAATTAGGATTTGGATCATTTCTCAATGAAGACATGAGCTTTAATGGATACGTACATATTTTTTTTCCTAATTTTTGAGTCGGGAGGTATAACATAATGAATGGCTACAGGAAACAGTGAATATATTAAGAGGATCTCGGTCAAAAATAACTCACTGGTCTCCTTCGGACCAGTTAATAATTGCTTATTGTTCTTTAATGTGGTAAAAAATTCGCATAACGAATCGGTTTGTAATATATAAGTGAAACCACTTGAATAAAAGGCGATTAACCTTGAATATTTCTTTGTGAAACCTCAGCTCTTTAATTCGATTTACTAGTGTTCGAAATTCTCTCGAACTCTTTCGAATTTAGTCTGTTTAAGACCTTTTAAGCTTTTTAAAAACCCTTTGACCCTACAGAATGACTAGCATCTAATTTCTCCTTAAAATATCACTCCTGAATCACACACTAAGGTCATGAGAATAAAGGAAATGATCACCAACTATAGAAGTTCTTGATTCTTAACCTAATTCTCCTTGTTAGCACCCTGGGAAATGTCTAGAGAACGGTTTGGAGAATATACATACTGATGTTAGGTTGTAAAGGATGAAAGCGCGGCTCTCCTCTTGTCTGTTACGAGTTATTTACGTTTTGAGATGCCTTGTCGCCAGTCTCTCGCTGACAGAGCCTGATGCACAACGTCTGTGACAGTGTTGGAGATATGGGAGGAAAAATCCGAGACATCCGTCGCTTGGTAACAGCCCCAAGAACTCCCGCGGGGTCACTATTGAACAGAGTTGCTGAAGGGTTCCTGCGTAAGAACAAAAACAACATAGAACCTTGATATCGTTACGTCACAAGACCGGACGAAACCATTTCTTTCTGGCCACAAGGCAGACACTTAACTACAGGAAGAAATAGTGGAAAACATTGCAGCGCGTAATAAGCATGCGATAGCATGTAATTAGTGGCAATAAAACAGGACGGAAAGACATTCAATCTGTAATAAGTATGGTAGAGCATGGAACTGGCTTTTAAGGGCTGGAAAAGTTTAATTGGTGATGAGCTAGGGAAAGCATGGCTCTGGCAATGAACGCGAATAAGCATGGTACTGGTAATAAGCGCGGGAAAGCATGGTACTGGTAATATGCGCGGGAAAGCAGAGTACTGGCAATGAACGCGGATAAGCATGGTACTGGTAATATGCGCGGGAAAGCAGAGTACTAGCAATGAACGCGGACAAGCATGGTACTGGTAATAAGCGCGGGAAAGCATGGCACTGGTATTGCACGCGGGAAAGCATGGTGCAGTTGATGAGTGTGGGCACTTGATGGGGAATGAAGGGCGGGAAACATTCACCTACTAACAAACGTGGAAACATTCAGCTGGAGACTGAAGCCAAGTAAGACAAACATTTCAAAATGAGTTACCGAAAGCGAAGTTTGTAAAAACGGTACGAAGAACTGCTCAGAAAATCTACTCAGGTGATTTTCAGACCGACTGGACTTAACTGTTTTCTTAAGAAACAAAAAATTAAATGGCTACTTTACTGCACATTTGAAGACTTAACTGACACATTCTAACGATAATACACAAGATTTACATTCGCACCTTTCAGGACTGCCATGATGGCTTCTTTTCTTGACTCTGAATCGTCGCTGTCTGTTTCTTCTTTACACATTTCCAACAAGGTTTGTACCAAAAGTGACCACTGGAGAAAGAAAAACATTCTTATTATCAACATGTTGAAAAAAAGTAAAAAATACTGACAAGTCTTCGTGATTCCTGATCAAGCTTTAAGTAGAAGGTATTAGGTATTTGAGTTGAAGACAACTATTCATTTTTAGGAGAAGCGTACAGGAAAAACACCCCTTCCGTTCCCAACTTACCTTCTCCACGTTCTGACCAAAGTAGTGCATTGCATAAGGTAAAGCTATTAAAGAAAACTCGTCCAAAACAATGGCCATAGCCTACAAAGATAAGAAAGAGAAAAGAAAGCTAACGTTATTAGCATCTTGCTAGAAAAATGGCATCTAGGCTAGTAGTGAATCACCTTCTCCAAACAAATGTTTTCCTTATGCGTCGATCAATTCGAAGCTTCAACATCTCCCCTCCCCTAGGCAACCCACGGGCATTTGACCATTGTTTGTGCCTGGGGGGTTGGGGAAGTTGGCAAGTCTCTCCAACGGAAAACAAGTGTTATATCTTTAAATATGGGGGAGTTTAAAGTAAATAGTTCACTTTTGCGAGCGAATGGCGCAATAAAGAAAAGGTCTACACGGTCTTGGTTTTATAGCTTGGTCAATATGTAGAAAATCACGGTCGCTGATTTTGGGTGCCCCACCCAAAATTGGGTTGGGCATTTAAACACAATTTTTGCCCCCGGGGAGGGGGGAATTTTAACAAACCAAAATCTTCAAAAGTTCAAATTCCCAGAGGTTGCCAGAGGCGGGTGTTGAAGCTTCGAATTGATCGATATATTACCTCAGCATGTCGCTCCACATGTGGCAGACAAAGAAGCAGGAGAGAGGTTCTTTCCTTTATTATCGCCTGACCCTCTATTTTGCTCAAGACGAAATCAGCCAACTCACTGCTGACATACTTGGAGCACAAAAGCGCCTGAAATACATAAGTAAATAAAATGAATGAGACAGTGAAGGAGATTTTATCATAGAGACGCTTTTGACTCAAATTAAAGCCTTCGGTCGTAAAATATGGACTTCCTGAGTGTTACAGAAGAGAAGTATGTTTTACGATAGGATGAATAAAATTATGATGCCACCAATGCAACCATTCTGATGCAAGAGGGAGACCAGTCAAGACTTGGTCACGTCATTTTAACGCGCTTGGCGATTGGCCAGTTATACTTACTTCGACATAGTGTTGTCTACGCCTAGTTGATTGTCACTTATTTGAGGACCACTGTCAATTTGCAGTTGAATGTTAAGAGTTGCTTCGGTATTGCGTTGATTTTGCTTCACTTCTGTCAGCGAAGAACAAACGATTTTTCAAGAAACCTCGCGCTGACCTGTGTACCAATTAAGTAGTACACCAAAGCCAAATTTGACTTAGTCACTCGCGCTTTCCGCGCTTCAAGCAGCCTGCTTGATTTTACATGGGCTCCTAGCGATCTTTATCTGCATACGTTAGCCGTTAATCTAACTTTCGAGCATATTTTACGTTATTTACGCAAGGGAAATTCACTTTAAAAACGCCACTTAAGCATGCATTCTTACTGTACTTCGTTCTGTGATTGGCCAGGAAAACTTGCGCCACACTCTCAACCAATTAGATGCCCGGAACACAGCGGTTAGACATCGAGCATGCGCCGGCTGAGCGATAATTTCTCTCGCAAAATATCAGAGGAAAACAAGAAACAAGCACTTTCTTGCAAAAAAGCGAAAACGTTAAAATTTTCATACAAATCTGTAAAAAAAGAGACAAAACTAAGAGAGGGGAAAGCTCGAAACTTTCCAACACAAAGCTTATTCAAGCACAGGTATCCCGATAATTTACTATTCTGTTACTTGTGCGATTGTTTGTAACTCGTGTGAGGCAACTTTGTTCTTACAGCCTATTATACTGTGATTTCTCATCGCTTCTAAGCTGTTAACCCTCGCTGTAATTGGCCATTATGATGACTACCGTTCTGTTTTAACGACACTCAATCGAAAAGTACGCTAAGCTCGCTCCAAATAACAAATCATCCACCTGAATTTTTATCAAATCCTCGTTACAGCAGCAACAGGAACACTCATTAGGGCTCGCAGTCGAGTCTACACCACGCTGGACAGAAAGATAAGGACCCTTGCCAGCTGATCGTCGGGAAGAACTGGAAAACCGAGAGGAAGATCGAGACAGCTGTGGGGAGGCCTGTGGCGAGACCGGCTTCGCGCAAGGGCAGCCTGGGAGTCCGGGGAGACACAGTGCGCCTGTAACACAACAAAATACAACAGATCTTATAAGCACATTCCTCACTCGTGGCTAAGAACTGACAAGGAGACCAGTCAACCCCTCCCCTACCCCCCCATCCCCTTACCCCCCCTCCCTTATAATGAACAGTCCCTAATTGGGCTACCAATCTTGCGTTGGTTCTCTATAAAGCAGGATAGCTTCATTACCTTCGAAGATTTTTCAGAATTCAGTGACAGGCACCTTACAAGTAGAGGACCCTGTAACTAAACCAGCAATAGAAGATGAAATAAGTAAACCAAAAAAGCAATTGACTTCCTGACCATTAAAAGGAGACAGCTTGTCGAGCCACGGGTGTCGAGTTCCAAAATGTCCTTCTCCGTTCGGCTAAAAAGAAAGCGACAAAAGGATTCACGAATATTCTATCTTAGGAACCAGTCATTATTTATC